GTTACCGGGGAAACCTTGATCTCTACCACTTCAACAGCGCCTCCTGCTGGCAGAGAATGAGTTTGCATATATATGCTGCCTGGGAAACACTGGACTATGGTATAAATAAATTCAACTGTATAACAGTTTCACTGCAATTCATGTTATAATGTTAGAATTAAATAACAATAAAAATAATACATATGCACTTATCTGTACATAGTAAATGCAGTTATTTTTAAGCGGTTGTTGACATCATATCTAAAACGTGATTTAGCCACAAAAAAAAAACAACAACAGTAATGTTACCACTCTAATATGTCTTACAATATCTGTGCGTGCAAAGGTTCTGCACGATCCTCTTGTTCAATATTCTCTGGGTCTGAATCCGGCTCAATATGGCAATATTGACGCCATCCTTAAAGGGCTAGTTCACCCAAAAATGAAAATTTGATGTTTATCTGCTTACCCCCAGGGCATCCAAGATGTAGGTGACTTTGTTTCTTCAGTAGAACACATTTGATGATTTTTAAGTCCAACCGTTGCAGTCTATCAGTCGTATAATGCATGGCAATGGTAACAAAATCTATGAGAGTAAAAAAAACATGCACAGACAAATCCAAATTAAACCCTGCGGCTCATGACGACACGTTGATAATTAGTAAATGATGCCAGAAGTAAATGATGCCAGAATATTTTTATTGTTGGGTGAACTACACATTTGCATGCTGCACTGCATCTTACTGACTCTGAAAATTGAATGAAAATTGTCATATTCCTCACCCTCATGTTGTTTGACTTGTTTTCTTTTGTGTAATGTAAAAAGATATTTTGAAGTATTTTTGTCACCAAACAGTTTTGGTTTCCATTGGCTTCCATCATATGGGCAAAAAATACAATGGAAGACGGTGGGACCTGAAACTGTTTGGTTATCAATATTATTCAAAATTATGTGTTCCACAGAAGAAAGAAATGCACACAGGTTGTGAACAACATGAGGGTGAGTAAATGTTAACAATTATCATTTTTGGCTAAACTATCTCTTTAGATATTATTGGGAACAAGCTTATAGCAAAAGTGCCGTATAAATATATTTCCTGTATCAAAACTCATTTATTTCAACATTTTAATTAGAATATATTTTGGTAGTCTAAATATTTGAAAGGTCTCTGGTGGCTGTTGGTGCCTTTTCTCTCTCCCTGGCTCTCTCCTGCCTCTGTTTCATACATTATTGAGCCAGTGTTGGCATATGTACTGAGCGTCAGCGATGCTGGCATGATGTGCCAGTCTAGTTGGTAAGGAGCTCCGGTAAAGAGCTCCTCACACCCTGTTCCTTTCCTCCCGTTTCCTCCCATCGCTGCCATCTGATCCCCGCCGGCCTATCAGACCCACGCTGCTGTTATCCTACTGCAGCCATTCTGCTAATTAAACCTCATGTCACTGGGGCCGCTGTGTGTGTTCAAGCAAGCTCACCTGCACTGGAAACACACCGATTTATCCTTTACATCTTCTAAAGATCAGCCACCGCCTGAGACTGGGTGAAGATCGGGCTCAACGAATATAATTTATCACCTGTCGATATATGAAAATGTCAAGAGAGAGGAGCGTATCTTGGTTTGCTCTTGAGCGCAGCCTGTCGTGCGGCTTATCTGTGTCACACGAATGACATTTCAGCCTCTGCTCGACATCTGAAGGTATTATCTCATTATGCGTATCTCCTTACTGTTGTGTCACCATTTCTGCGGATGTTATCAACAGGAAGGTGGCTGGGTGGTTAGGATGTGGACAGTTAAGACCATGTCTGATCCTAGTAACCATTACTTACCCACCGCGCTGACACAGAGTGACTCTGAGCGCGCAGGAGGCATCTCTAATTTCTTTACTCTACTCTGCAGTTTACACTTACATTTGCTTAATGACCATCAGGCTGCCTCGATAACATCAGTCCAGTTGTAATTTAAAAGAGTGTGTGTGTGCGTGCTTGTACAGGATGATAAGGAGAGAAAGCGTCTGGAGGCTCTGGAGAGGAAGAGAGAAAACCAAAGGCTCTTTGAGGAAGAAGTTGGCAAGATAAAGGGTAAACAGACAAAAGAAGCCCCCGGTAAAGTGACTCGAGCCCAGATTGAGGAGAACCTACAAAGCGAGCAAAATGTTAAGGAAACCGAGGTAAAAGGTAAGGCCAAATCCAACGTGGATGTAGAGCGCTGCCTACATAGGCAACATGCTAACCACAAAACCTCATAAGTGACTGATTTCAATGCTTTAAACAGCGATCCAGCGATAAGTGGCTGATTTCAATGCTTTAAACAACGATCCTGTGTGTCACACAAAAAGCCCTTTATATATATAAATTTGCATGTTGATAAACTAAAGCCCTAACACTAAAAAACTTTTTTTGGTTTTACATATTTGATACCATGTTTTATTGTTATACTGTTTGTTTAGCACACTGTATCATTCCAATCATTAAGGAAGCCCTGACAACTTAAAGTCACAGTGAAATGTAATTCATATTGTGGTGTACATTTGAATAAAACAGATTATCGCAAAAGAAAAAAATGACGAGCAGAGACTTGGTTCAATCCATTGGTTGTTCATTGGATGGAGGCGATTCTGATTGCGTGCTTGCAGTTGATTTTAAGAAAGGGGCAGGGGTTTAAGTTGATGTATGCTGGACATTATAAGCCGACCAGGTTATAATATCTGGAGTCAAAAAATAAATAAATTAGATGCATGCATTGGAGAGTTGTTCACATTGTAACATTTGCATTTAGAAAATACAGTGAATTTTAGTGTCATGTTGACACTAGGCACTATTTGTGTCAGGACAGGAGTCGCACAACAAAATAAACTGTATTGCTGGTCAAAATTCATACTAATACAGGAAGTTTGCATGAATGAAACAAGATGCCCTTATTTTCACACTAAGCATAAAAGTGTCTTTATTGTTTTGTTGTTTCGAATAGGCCTTTTCAGTTTCATCATTTAGTCTTGTGTATCTTTTTAAATCTACAGAGAAAAGCCACTTGGAGATGCCGCTTGAGGAGAACGTCAATCAGATAGTTCCAGAAGAAGGCACGATGGAGGCCCGAACCATTGAGGATGCCATCGCAGTTCTCAGGTATCCTGTTCTCTGGAAAAAAAACTTTATGGAGTGATAAGGAGACTCTGTTGTTCTACAAACATTAAAAAGATCTACATTTGTAAGAGTCACAGTTCTCAGATGGTTGTGCTCTTAAGTGCTCTTCTTCCAAAGTCTTTATCAAAAGGTTTTGTCAAAGGTGATAAAAAGTATGAAATATCTTATAGGGTACAACAAAAAGCCTAATAATTATCATTTTAGATGCCTTGAATTTTAAGGTGGAAAATAGGAATCACGACGCACCTAATGTGATTATTAAACTTCAAAAGCCTATGATTTAATTAAGTGCTACACATTCAAAGGCAAAACGTGGCGCTGTTGCATGTTCTACAGATTTGCCGTTTCAGAGCTGTTTGCAATAAATTAATACCAGCCATTTATTTTATTTTTTTACACAAGCGATTGCTTGTGATTTACTGATGATGAATTATGGCAAAATTTTTATATTTTAATATGTTGTAGATGGAGGTAAGAGTGCATACTTTTTTTCTCCCTCAACTTTTTGAATGAGCAGCTGGAAGTATAAAGAGAAGACATTTCAAAATAAGGGTCCTAGTGTATGCATAGTGTTGTGCACATTTTATTTTTTCTGGTTATTGATTACACAATAAACTGGCATTTATTTACGTGTAAACTCTTGTGACTTCTCTCTGGGCCACCCCGTCACAAGAAGGAAAGGCTAAGAACATCATTTAACACATTCACTATATAGATTTGACTAGTATTGGCACAATAATCTGTTTATTATCTGCCTTTTTTTAAAGCTAGATGTCGTTCAACATTTGGTTCATGCTTGTTTTTAGTGCTTCCAGCACTAAGGAAGACCTGGATCGACACCCTGAGCGGCGTATGAAAGCCGCCTATGCTGCGTTTGAAGAAGCAAACATGGCGCGCCTTAAAATGGAGAACCCCAATATGCGACTTTCCCAGCTAAAACAACAGCTCAAGAAGGAGTGGACAAAGTCTCCGGAAAACCCCCTCAACCAATGTGTGGCCACCTACAACTCCAAGTAAACCAACACAAGGGCACTTAAAGTCTGACCCTCGGCGCAGATCCTAACAAATACAAAAAGGCACCACGATTAAATTTGGACACAAAATTTACACATGAACAGCTGATCTATTCGCACCCTCACCTCATATGTGAACTCACAGACAAACTTGGATTATTTAACTAATTATTCAATAAATGTCTGATGATGTATGAACTTAATTCGCTTATCTGCTAGACAATGGCCTATGAGCTGCTGGGAGGTTTCGAGGTTTGGTTTTTAGTGAACGCAGAGTGGATTCTCAACTAGCACACCTTTCCTCCACATAACATGTTTTACTGCTGTGTTGAGTTCATTTATTAATGTCTTCATCTAATATGCGGAACATGACCTGAAGTGTGGTTAACCTGAGGCAAGTTTTTATTTTTTTATTTAGTGTCTGTGTGATAATCATTAGGGTTCACCTTCTGGTTTGATATTTATGGAGAAGAGAAAGGTGATCTGATAATTGCTCTAAATTAAGATGATATGGATAGAGATTTGTGTGCTTGATTGATCTTACATGGCTTTGTTTTGAAAATGTACTTTGGACCTGGTATGGAACCGTGTCTCCACATCCCAAAGGCGAGTGGACTAATAGCCGTTGGATTGCCATACACACGTGTCAAGCAGTGCGAAGACACACTCTGGTCTGTGCTTCGCATCTGTGGAGGAGTACAAACACTCTCAGTGGCTCTTGGAAAACTTTTTTTAAATAAAAAGTAAGGAAGAAACAGCTATTATTACATTTGCTGATGTTTTCCTTTAAAAGAAATGGCCTTGTACGATGCAAAGCAGTTGTAGCTGCAGTTTACTTTCTTTTTTTGGTCTCTTATTTCATTTATTTTTCAGGAAGAAGTTGCTGTCTGTTTTGACTAACCCAAGTTTGTTCCTCTTTTACAAATATTGTATTGTTGACTGCATTTGTCAAGCTGAGCTCAACTCTTGATACCCAAGTTATTGTAAGAAGAAAAAAAAATGATAAAACAAATATTTTTCCTCAGAGCTAAGGAACGGAGAACCACAAACCAACATATGGTCCAAAACTAGCTAATAAGTCACACCGAATGATGGATGGATCGCAGCTTAATTTAGGCTAACTTTACAACTGTTACTTGCAACCTTTGCTATATATAAGCTTTTTACATAGTACATTTACTTTAAATATTAAAATATATTTAATATATTAATTTTATATTTTGATTTGATATTTAATTTGTCTAATATATTTTACATTTTAATTGTATAATATTTAATTTTTTTTAATAGTTTGACCCCTAAAATTGACTTTTTAGAGTTGCAGGTCTTATTTCACACAAAATTCATGAAAACTGCTAACCCATGATGACATTTTCCCTCGTTCAACTACATTAAAAAGGTCCTTGCAGCTTACGTGATAGATTTGCTTTTAATAACGTCTCTGCAGGTACACAAGCGACGAACATAAATGGTCACTGACCCCTGTGGGACGTTCCGAAAGGAAGGAAATTAGCCTGCAGGCTGGATAATTCCCAGTGGCCACCTTTATCCTCGGCAGGAACGCTCTTTAGCACTTAAGGTAATTTATGGCCATAATGTGTCATCAAGCAGCGTCAAAGTAAGAGAACTGTAGGTCATCATGAGATCATGCTATAACCTCTCTCATTTACTTACCTTCCATTGAAACACTTCTCCCACACAGAATGATTTAATGAATGTGTCCTTTTCATAACTCTGACATAACTGCCTGTAAAACAATAATAATGGCAATATTTGAAGACCTCAAATACAATTGTGAAACAATAGTGGTTTAATCAACTTCAATATCTCTGAGCCAAGGGGGTTTTAAAGCAAAGATATTACTCTCATAAGAATGCTGTTTTATTTTTAAACCTATTTGCACATTATTAGTTGTGACCCACTGAGAGTGTTATTATTTAATGAGTTATCGCATATCGCATTTTTCTTCAATATCGCACAGCCCTAATAGATAGATAGATAGATAGATAGATAGATAAAAATCATTTGCATTGGTGGCCTTTTTTTAGTACACTTTTAGGCCCCACTGTATTTTTCCACATTGTGTCCTTCTAGCATTGCTAAATTATTTAGTGACAAACATTAACCAAAAATGACAATTAATTTTTTTACAATTAAGAATACAATTAGAAAATAGAAAATTGCAAACCAGAAGCATTTTAATCAGTCGCCCTTTTTTAGAAGACTTTTGGGCTCCTAAAATATTTTCCCACATTTTATACTGTGTCCCTCTAGCATTGCTAAATTCTTTAATGACACACATTAACCAAATATAACCCTCTGTCGATCTAAAATCAACCCTCTTCACTGCAGTCTTAAACTGAAGCTTAAATGGAGGACCATACACACACTTCAACGCACTGAACCCTGCTGGTTGTGTACATGTACATCTCACGTATCCATGTTTCCGTCCAACACTTGGTGTGATGTGTGTTGCTCTTTTATCTGAGCTGTCTCTGTGGCGGGAAAGATGAGAGGGTTTGGGAAGGCCTTTGAACTGCTGAGCATCAATCGCAGATTTCTCTCCCCTCTATTTCCTCATCAGCAGACCTCAATGTATTCGACTACCTCAGCCAACCCGAGCAGTGGACGCAATAATGATACCCGACACTTAAAGCAGAAAGTGTTGTGGTGTGTACAACATATAGTGTTTTGCTCTCCCTCTGTCTCTCTGTGCTGCTTGTTTCTTTGTCTCCTTATCCATTTGCATGCCAACCCTTATCAAGCTGGGCTGTCCTTTCTTCAGCCTGCATCCTAATTATGCGTCTCAAAGAGAGACCGGCCGGCCCCCTACATCTGACAAGCGTCTGAGGAAAAAGCTGCAAGTCTGATGACTAAATCCTGTTTTCTCGGAAAAGCGCCCATCACTCAAACCTCACGTATGTTAGGGGAGCCAAGTCTAACATGCTCGCCAAAGGAAATGAGGACGCTGCTTTAAGGTAAGGATGACGCTGTTTACAATTATTAGTGTTTTTATATCTATATGTCAGATTCTTATGTTTTTTTAAATCTTGTATGCAGAGATTGAGCCTTTTGGAAAGTTCATTCAGCAAATACAGGTCTAATCAACAGGTGTCATTCCTGAGTAAATGCTAGAAAAAAGTCATTATTGTACAATATTTTTACATATATTTTAGGCATTATGTCTTAAGATTTTACTCCTATTTCAGTTTTAACTAACTGTTTGCTCAAAGCAGATTATCATACTGTATTTTCGGACAGCCGTGTTTGATTATGCATGACGCATGGGAAAATATCCTTTGTTTTTATGACACACAAGCCATTCACTCTTTTATTTTTTTATTTTGTTTTTATATATATTGTAAATGACTAAGGTGTCATCCCACAAATTAGCGTGAAATCACTTTCCCGCTGCCCAAACCCCCCGTCAAGGGTAAAGTAATGAACACTCATCTGCTTGTGACAGGGCCTCTCCATCTTTCTCTAGCCGTTAGACAGGAACATGCGTTTCTTCATACAAAAGAGCATCTGCAATGACAACACAGTTAGTGCAAATGGAAAATCAACACAGGAACAACCATTTCGCAATGTTTTCCTGAGCCGTTCTCAGAAATATATGAATCAGTTTGATAGGCTGACTTGAGATGAACACATTTTAAGTGTATCAATTTGATTTAACTGTAAACTGTGATATTTGTTTCCATTCTGAAACTGAATATAACAGTAAATTTCCATTTACAGACATTTATGCTTAATGCAAATGAATCTGAATTAACACAAACCGCTGTAGTGTATTTATGACTATTGATCGTTGCCGCCTCATACCGCTGATCTTGAGGCAGTGTTGCTTTTCTTCAGGCCTGGGTTTTTTTTTCGAAGAAAATGATCCAAGATCAGCAGAAAGGCAATTAAAGGTACAAATCTATATTTGGAGTGTGTGTAACCTCCTCGTAGCTGTGGGCAAGAAGTTCGAATGCAGTTTAATGAACAGGTGGAACAGCAGGAGGAGATATATAAATAATGCACACTGAGAGGCCTTTATATAAGAGCTGTCAGCTTGATTGCTAAAAAGAATTACTAATGTTCACTCTCTTGTACAGGTTAAAATAGAAAACAGATGGCCCTTCTGTTGTAAAAGTGATACCAGGATATTAAATACCTGATAGCCCATAAAATTGCTCTGTTTGTATGGTGTGCTGTTTCCAGGCCCTGAGTGGTTTTACAAATTACAATCTGGTCCCTCCGAGGAGGTCTGATTCTGATGTCAGACTACAGAAATGCGTTGAGATTGTTTCATTTAATTTAACAAAAAAGGATTGTAGACCGTTGTACAGATTCTGTCTGCTGAAAATGACATGTACTAACTACTTAGTTAACACCTTACAATCAGGTTCCGTTTGTTTACATTAGTTAATGCATTAAGTATCATGAACTAACAACAAAGAACATTTTTTAATGACATTTATTAATCTTGATTTATTAACAAACTATAATATACTATATGCATTAACTAATATTAACTTTTATAACTTGAAGTGATATAATTGTATTAGTATGTGCAGAAATTAACCAAGAAATAATACATTTCAGAAACATTTCACAATAGGTAAAACAGCTTCTGCAGCATTAATGTCAATATGAATTCAATGTTAATTTCAACATTTACAAATACATTTTTAAAATCAAAAGTGTATCTGTTAACATTAGTTAATGCACTGTGAACTAACATGAACAAACAATGAAGAATTGTATTTTTAATTAACTGACATTAACATTAATAAATGCTGTAAAAAATGTATATTGCTCATTATTAGTTCAGGTTAACAAATATTAATGAACAGGCCCTTATTGTAAAGTGTTAACAGTATTTTTATTGTCAGTTTATGTTCCATATTAACAGATTAAACCTTAAGTGTTATTTATTTATCATTTGAATATGAGTAGATGTAAAATGTGTTTAATGGTCAAACAAATTTCCTATTCACTTCAACAAATACTCTTCTGGTGTTCATTCTGAAATGTTCAGCCTGTAACCTCACAAAACAACTGACTCTAGCATTGACAACTGAAAATGAGTTTTTTTAATTTTTTATTTTTAAACGCTTCCAAATGCCACACTGGGGTCATTTCAGCCGGCAATCCCACACACATACATTTCTGAACATGGATTGGGAAAGGAGAATTAATAATTAATGTGGTTGTAAGCAACATTGCCTCCAAAACCAGCAAGCAAATGATACTTCATTCTGACCAGGAACCCATACAGGTCTCCAGGACTAATTACTTAATGAAAAAGATCAAATTACCGGCTTTCTTCATCTGTGCCCCAGATCCACTCTGAAGTTCAACTCCAAACTTTGGCATCGCCCTCTCAGACATCAGCACTCAATCCTGTGAAAACCGACACTACTATCCTGAAATCTAAACAACTTTACTCTTGGGTTTCAAGGCTTTTTAAATATTGGTTTAGGTGCATGTGCTGACAGAAGGAATAAAATTGAATACTAGCATAGCTTATTGTTTGAGAACACAAAGGCAGATATCATTTAAACTGATGTCCATTTATTCTCTGATCTTTTTGCAGGTCACTTGGAGATGCATGATAAACCTGGCCATCAACTCACAGAAAATTATAACAAATTGTTTTTTTTTAAACAACTTGCAGAATTATTAGGCCTATTATTATTGTAAATATGTTTTCAGCATTATATAGTAAGATTTTTAGTCCCATCTTTTTAACTGATTACAATTGGTAATTTCT